TGATCTACCTCTTCTCTTCATTCTTTTAAACTTTTATCCAAATCATTTTAGGTGTATCTTCCTTTTCTTTTTTTTTCTCGTATATATTTTTGTTTACCTTTTTCTCGTCCGTATCATTCAAAATCCAACTGAAGTCAACTTCTAGAGGCAGAGTAAAAAACGCAACTATTCTTGATGCATAGAGAAACTATGATCGATAACGGATCTATTACCTGTAAAATAATATATATATATATATATATATATATATATATATATATATATATATATATATATTTATGTATATATATCTCCAAGTAAAATCAGAACAAACTGAGTATAATTCCACTGTTTGTAACAGTTCATTTAAAAGAGGGATCAATAAAGAGTAGAGCTAAAATTATTTATTTTAGGATATTAAAACAAAAACATTGTTAAAGTCGCTACACAATTGCAATTATGTTTCAACACTACAATTTTTGTTTGTTTTAATATCCTAAAATAATATATATATATAGAGACAAAACTCTAAAACTGTTTTGTCTGACGACGATCAAAAAGTGTGAAACCCAGGGTCACAAAATCACATCACCCCGAGAAATAAACAATATATATATATATATATATATATATATATATATATATATATTACGTTGAAGCGGCTACACATGCGCACGAATGAGCGACGCTGATAATTTTGAATTCAAAAATGATTTTTTTAATGTGTTCCGGGTAGATTTCATTTAGAAAAAATATTTACATAAAATCGCATATATACATACACACACACACACACACACACACACACACACACACACACACACACACACACACACACACATATATATATATATATATGTGTGTGTGTGTATATATGTGTGTGTGTGTGTGTGTGTATATATATATATATATGTGTGTGTGTGTGTGTGTAAATATATATATATATATAGAGAGAGAGAGAGAGAGAGAGAGAGAGAGAGAGAGAGAGAGAGAGAGACAAAAGACAGAGAGAGCGAGTTCGAGAAGTTATAGCAAGAAAAGAGGATCCTGACGCTGTTATATTGATTAGTATGCTGCTTGCCTAAGCTATTTCAAGGCAATTCAGTATGTACGTCATGTTCAGCAGATAATCATCCTTGTATCGCCGTTGGCTTAGCCCAGTAATTAACAAGATGGAATAAAATACAATGTATATATATATATATATATATATATATATATATATATATATATAGTAACAGATTGAGCTAGAGAGATAGATATCAGGTCATCCCATAAGTTCTGTCCGAATTTTGAATAAAAAAACAAGTGTCCAAATGTTACATTTAATTACAGATTCAATCAACAATGCATTTTCCCTGATTATCTATGACTTCCTTCCATCTATTAAGAAGCTTACTAATTCCATTACTGTAAAATTCTTTTGACTTTGATTCGAAGAACTCACAAATGTCAGTTTTAATCTCTTCCTGTGTTACAAAAGCTGTTTCTTCCAAATGATTCTGTAAGCTACGAAACAAATGGTAGTCTGAAGGAGCAAGATCGGGAGAATAACGTGGACGAGGAATTTTCTCTCAACCAAGTGTGGGGTCATGCATTGTCCTGATGAAACATCACCCCTTTTCGATTGACTAGAGCAGGTCTTTCTTTTCCGCAAGGCTTGGTTCGAACGCTCTAATTGCTGACAGTATATTTGAGCATTAATTGCTGCATTAGGTGCTAAGAATTCAAAGTGGATTATTCCTTGGCGATCCCGCCAGATTGAAAAAAGAAACTTTTGCCCATGAAGTTCCCTTCTCGCATGTGTCTGGGGTCCTTCCCCTTTACCAAGCTACTGTCTACGACGCTTAACATTTCGATAAAAGATCCATTTTTCGTCGCCAGTCACAAGTCTATTCCAAAAAGGTGAAACAAGTTGGCGAGAATGGAGAGAAGAGCAGATGACAACTCGGTATTTGAGGTTGTTTTCAGACAATTCATGAGGCACCCATTTTCCAAGTTTAGGAACTTTTCCAAGTTGTTGAAAATGACGATGAACAGTTGTATGGTTTGAAATGTGAACCACTGCCAATTCCTCAACTGATAAAGCAGGATTTTCTTCAAGGGCTGCTTCAAGAAGCTTTTCATCAAACTCAACTGAACGTCCGGTTCGATCTTCATCTTCAAGGGTGAAATCTCCACCTCTGAATTTTGCAAATCATCTTCTGCAAGTTCTTTCATTCACACATTCCTCTGAGTGAATGTTTCTAGCCGCTTCGGCTGCTGAGTTTCCTTTCTTGAACTCATAAAGCATTATGTGCCTCAAATGATTCTTGGGTACTTCCATGTTAGCAGGGTTTTAATCACACAAAATTTAATTTTATTGTTCTCTGAAATAAAATTCGATCAGTTTAAATGCATCTAAACATAAAAATAATGTTCAGCTTCATTAGACATTATAAAATACTCTTTAAATTTCGTTCATTTTAACAAAAAGTTAAAATTCGAACCGAACTTATGGGATGACCTGACAGATAGATAGGAAGGAACAGAAGGAGATAAAACAAAAAACTGCAAGACTATCGCAACTCTATCGCTATTTCCATAGCATATGTTCACATGAATTTTATTATTTCTTACCGCAATTTCAGACCTTTACAGCTAGAAAGCGCCATGCTTTTCCCACTGAGTCGAAACATGATCTTTTCTCCCACGTTCCAAATATGAAATGAATGTTTCACTCAGGCAGCTTTTCCCAGAAAACTGCCACTTCATGGAACTGCCAGCTTGGCGGGTGCTTTTTCGAATACTACAACATTAACCTCTTCATATATCAAGAGTCAATTCTTATCTATCCTCCTTATCCTGATTATTTTCATTTCTTAATCTCCCTCTTTCATTCATATTGCAAACCTCGTTTATCATTCGATTTTCACATTAATTCTCTACTTTGAATGGCACCCGAGTTTTGAAATTGGTAAATTTGATATTTGAAAAATGGATAAATTGGGAAGCACTTGGTAAGCGTCGTATTCAGTCGAGCAGTGTTGATCCTTCCACCGAACAATCAGTTTAATAAACTGTGTAACAAAACTCACCATCCGTATTCTGTTGAATAGAGCGTGCAGGGCAGAGATAGGACAAGAACAGTGCGGGTTCGTTAAAGACACCGGAACAAGGAACGCAATATTCATGCTCAGAATGTTATCAGAAAGAGCGATACAGATGCAGAAGAACCTGCACCCATGTTTCATAGACTACGCAAAGACTTTCGACAAACTACGCCACAAGAATCTGTTTGAACTGCTCAGCAACCTTGATATATTCGGGAAAGATATTAGAATAATCAAGAACCTATACTGGCAGCAAACATTATGCATACTGATAGGGAACGAGTTCAGCGAATATACAAAAATAGAAAGGGGAATAAAGCAAGGATGCATCTTCTCACCCAACCTGTACAACCTATACAGGGAGGCAATTCTGAGAGAATTGGAAACCCTAGTTTTTTTTTCAACATAGTTTTGTTGACTATGAAAAGTATTTTGACTCAGTAGAACACTCAGCAGTCTTATATTTATGAGGATTATTGGATGTATTGCTAGGAATTATCGTCTTCCATGCCCTATATCCCTTGATGAGGTGGGCGATCATGTCTCTCCCCAACCTCTCATCCTTTGTAGCTCTTATTAGGATTTCTCTTTTCACCGCCCCTCCTATCCATTGTTCCGTCATCCATTCATACCATCACATTTAGCAAGATAGCAAAGTCTTCTGTATACTTTTCAGTGACTATGAAAAGTCATTTGACTCGGTAAAACACTCAGCAGTCTTTAACTCACTATGCTAGTAGGGTATTAATCAAAAATATATGAAAGTTATTACGAATAGATACGATAGCAGAACTGCAAAATGACCTAAAATAAGAACTGGAAAAGTAAAAGGGAAGTAAAGGAAGGAAGCGTCTTTTCACCTGACCTGTTCAACCTATACAGGGAGGCAATTGTGAGAGAATTGGAAACGCTACTGGGATTTAGCATTGGCGGCCACAATCTTAACAACATAAGATACGCAGATGATACAGTACTGATAGCAGACACGGAAAAGAAATGACAAAATCTCATACAGAAGGTAGCGACGGAGAGTGTGAAGAAGGGACTAAGCATAAACTACAAGAAGACAAAATGCATGATCATCAGTAAAAAGATTCACCCAAAATGCGATTTACAGGTCGGGGACACTGAATTCAAGCAGGTGCGGAAGTTTAAATATCTAGAAAGTGTTTTGACAGAGGACGACAAGTGCGACACTGAGATCCGTAGACGTATTGGGATGGCCAAGGACTTATTCCAAAAGCTGGATAGAGTATTGCGATATAGGAGGATTTCTTTGGTAACAAAGAAAAGCATACTGAGCTGTTACCTGACATATGTCCTCCTTTATGGCAGCGAACGTTGGAGTGTCTCCTCAATGATGAAGAAGAGACTCAAGGCGACGGGGATGTGGTTCTATAGAAGGATGCTGAGTATATCCTGGACCGAGCGCGTCAGCAACGACGAGGTCTTAGAGAGGATGCAAACAACGAGGAAGCTTATACTTAACATCAGGAAGAGGCAGCTGAAGTTTCTGAGACACGTAATGAGAAAGGAGAGCCTGGAGAATCTGATACTCACAGGGCGAATAGAGGGAAAGCGAGACAAGGCAAAGCAACGCATGACATATCTGGCAAGTGGATGACAAAACGTTATCTGGGGGAGGTGGTAGAGGAACGAAAATTATTGAGATAAATGATAGGGGAAAAAGTGGAGAGCCATGATCGCCTACGTCCTGAAAGGACACGGCACATGAAGTATTGATGCAAGTGACTTGCTTGATTACCATTATTACACAGTGCGGTACATAGAAATATTTAGTAAGCTTAGCTAAGTCTGGCACAAAATTACAAGTAAGGAACACCTTAAGCAGTTCGATGTCATTACACGCGTATAAAACTCGTTAGCTCTCACTCTGCATACAAGTTGGCATGGCTTGCTCACATGTCACGTTGAAACACCGGTTTTCATACGATCACCGAAAGTTAAACAACGTTGAACCTGGTCAGTACCTAGATGGGTGACCACCTGGGAATACCAGCTATTGTACGCTTGGGTGTACAGGTGGTGTAGTGGATAACGACGCAGAATTGGAAAATCGGAGAGCCGAGTTCCAATTTCAGCCAAGTTTGTTATATTGTCTTACACGCAAATACCCTTGGGAAAGGTATACACTCACTTTTTAACCCCCCTAGCTATAGGTTAATTAATAGGACTTGTATCCGTAAAACATTATTTTTCCAAAGAATTCTAACAATCTAAAAATATTTTATGACTTTAAATAACTTGCAAAAGGTTGATAAATCATAAAAACCAAATCAATCAATGCAGGTCGGTAAATTATCGATGATCGAGACAGATATATTGATATGATAGTCTAAAATATTAGATTGAGTCATAAATAATGTCAGCTTTTGTTTAACAAATATGTTTTAGTATCTGTCTATATTTCTGATATGAGGTATTATGTACATTATTCGGACTATTGTCCAGATCTTTGTTGACATATTTATTACAACGTTTCAGCCGTTCAGTATCTGTCTATATTTCTGAGATGAGGTATTATGTACAATATTTACATTCGAGATGAGGTATTATGTACACTATTTACATTCGAGATGAGGTATTATGTACACTATTTATATTCGGATTATTGACCTCATCTTTATCACCATGTCTAAAGAGTGTGAGTTCAATACCCGGTTAAGGCAGTGGAGAACTTGCAGAGGGGAATTAGCAGGAGATAACTGATAACTGACATCCATTAAACATGGCACGTAGAACTAGAACAGTGAGCGAAATAAAGGGTTCAGTTCGACATTCACCTGAAGAAGGCCGGAGCGTACAACGGCCGAAACGTTGTAATAAATATGGTGACAAAGATGTGGACAATAGTCCGAATAATGTAAATATGTTTTATTCCAAAAATAAAGCACTACATTTTATTCAGTTATATAATCGCCATTATTTGCAAGGACTTGTCACCATTTATCTGGCAATTATGTTTTATATTTTGCGTAAAATTCCACGTGCTTTTCGATAAAAACGATTTCAAAGAACTCTTGAATCTGGTTTTCGTTAGAGAAAAAGCATTTTGCAGCGATCAAAAAAGGTTGGTGCAATCGGTTGGTGCAATGTCAAATCAATATTTCGGGTGCGTTAGACCAGAGCATGTGAGATCCAACATTGCGTTGTCGTGGAAGAGAACGACATTTTCCGCTATTCAACTGTGCACGCTACCACTTCCGTCCAAAACCTAAGATTTGATTTGTTTGTTTAATGGCACATCAACACCTTATGGGTCATTTAACTGAATATATGGTAGATGATGATCATCTTTTGTGCATATACAAATTTGAATATAATTACTAGAAGCAGTGATAAGTGTATTTTACGTTGTAATTTTGTTGTAGTTATATTTCGAAATACAGTTTAGTTTCTGAAAGAAATTGTAGGATTTTATATGGATTAATATCATGAAAGTGTTCTTTTCTGTTGATTTGATGTATTGTTGGTAATTTTACTATAAAAAGTTATTGTTGGTAAATTTTGTATGAAATATATTGTTGGTATTTTAACAATAAAATATATTTTTTTGTTTGTCAGTTAACTATTTGCCAATACCCGGGACCCTAACAGGTGCTACAACTACGGGTCAGAGTGGATCTGGGAACATCAACAATTAAGAGGTGGTTCCACGCACCAATCACCCGATCAGAGACCTTGCTGCCGGATGTAGTTTATCATCATACCCAGAACTAAGGTAATCTAGTGTAAACCAAATTTGTTCTTAAATGTCTCGTATGATTATCAGTGTAGTGATCTTAAACATAGTAGCATTATCAATCCTAAAATGAAATTCATATCAGCAGAATCTCTCTCTTCTGGGTTTCTTCTCTTTCAAACATTTGTCATGAACTTTCCATACTGAAGCTAAAAGGGCTGTAAATGCTACACATATAAAACACGCCAACAAATTAACTTTCTACTATAACAATCATGAACCATTCTTTGTGTATACAATTTACGTCTAACAAAAGAAATTCTTGATTTATACGTTATTTTTAGTAAGTTTGTTTTAATAAATGTTATTTTTGCATTGCAAATTAATTGGTCTTTGTATGTCCCCTTTTTCACCACCATTATTTCATGTACGATAAAATGTTCCCGTAAAAAAATTTACGCGTTTAATTATTGAAGTAGTTAATCACTAAAACAGTTAGGATGTTACATTCGTTATTATTATTGGTATCACAAAGCCTGACTGATTGATATAAACAGAATGAGACAGACAGATAATATCTAATCGGAATATTGTAGCTGTTAGATTAAAGCGTTGGTTTGAGAATTTGGTGACATAGTGAGCGGATAGTAAAGGCTTAGACTCAGTAGAAACAGGGTGAGCAATAACTAAATATTACTAAATAAGAACAAGGCGGTATATACCTAGACCTGGACCACAACTCCAGAGCCGTCTACCCTACCAGATTAAATAAAGGGCTCATATGCGTATATGTATGCATGAGTGTATGTATACATATATATTAGGTTGGTGCAAAAATAATGACGTAATAATGTCGTTTTTTGACGTTAAATTTTGCACCAACCTAATATATATATATATATATATATATATATATATACATACGCTCATGCATACATATACAGACATATGCACGTAGACATACACATATGTGCACACAAACACATATATATAAAACCTTACACACATCCATACACTTACATACACACACTCATCTAAACAAATATACAACATATCTATCTATCTATCTATCTATCTATATATATATATATATATATATATGCACACGTATATGTATGTATGTGCGAGTAGATATAGATATATTGTTGTGTATATGTATATCTACGTATGTGTTCTTGGGCATATAAGTATTAGGTCCTTCCGATTTCTTTTGGAATTTGTAGGTCTGATAAATTGGATTGTGATTACGATTCCAATGTAATAAATTATAGCCATGGAATATTAGTGTTTGAGACTTTTATATAATAATATATATATATATATATATATATATATATATATATATATATATATATATATATATCGCTGTTCTTATACATACTTCATTAAGTTGTTTTTATTCAGTTTTTTTTTTACAGTCTATTTTGTGTTTGAATTAAGAGAGATTAGAAACTGTCTATTGTGATCAGTTTCCCAAGCGCTTTCGGCCAGTCCATTCGCAATTTTCATGAGTTTTGTTGTGTTTGTATGATTTTCTGTGTTTATATTCTGAGTTGTGTTGTATAGAAATAGTATTAATTATAAGTCATTTTATAAAAACGGTAATAATTCCACGCTTTCTTGCTTTAAAACAATCGCCAACCACCTTTTTGTCTCTTTCAAAGCAAGCGAAAACATAATTTCGGATCATTAAAAAATCTGGTGAATTGACTACCTAAATTTTAGAAAAAAAATGAAGAAAAAAATAAATCAGATATTTATTTCATCAGAAGACGTTTTCAAACGCTTTGTTCAAGGTTTTGCTCAGTTTATTTTTATGGAAAAAAGCGATAATTTCTTTTTGTTTATTCTCTAAGCTGGATTAAAATAAATGCATTTGCCAAAGTAGCATCTGTTTGGATAGGCAAAGAACTTAAACATTTATCAAATATAATTATTTGGATGTTTGAAATTGGGCATTGGGCTGTTGAATTTCAATATAGACAATCTCATTATCATTCCCCTCCTCTTCCTATATTTTTGGCGCGGTTATAAGTTCAACATTATCCTGGTCATTGTGGTAATACAAATGTATGTTATTTGTATGAAAACAATGAAGGCCTTAACAAGGGTTAATTTAACTAATTTAACGTTACGTATTTTTCTTTCATTTCTCAAAATGCTTGTCTGAAATGAAATATTGTAATGGGTTCAGTTTGGATAATGGATAAATGTCCAAATGATTACTAATGTTCTTTACATTCCACGTACGAATAATCGAATTCTGAAGAATTGTGGTATGGATAATCGAGGAAGTGATATCTTTTCTACGGATATTTTCACATGTCAATGACTCTTTACTTTTTCATTTACATTCAGCACAGCGTCTATGTAGGCATTTCCAAAGATTCACTAAAAGATGAGCATGCCTGATGAAAAAAATCCAAAATCTTAATAAGAACAAAGTTCTACTGTCACAATCTGTTGTAGAGTAGCTAGCACCCTGATCAGCTCTCTACTATTTGGCCTGGCTCATAGCCTTAAATCGTCTACAGTTAAGGATTTCAATACTTGATTAATAAGTTGATACTAAGCTGATTAATATTCAGACTGATCTTCGTTTGGCGATACGGCGTTGGACCCTCATCTATTCCTTGTAAGTTTTCTTGTTAATTGTTTTGTAACTTATCATTCTGTGTTTTTGTATGTATCCATAAGCACGGGATACTGGTGCTGAATAAATATATTAAGCACTCATTCTTCTCTTTGTATCATTCACCTCGATGATACAACACATAAAAAACACAGAACAATAAATTACAAACCAATTAACAAGACAACTTACAAGGAATAGATGAGGGTTAAATGCTGTATAGCCAAACGAAGATCAGTTCGAATATTAATCAGTTTAGTATCAATTTATTAATTAACTGATTAAGTCCTTAGTCGTAGACTATTTAAGGCTATGAACCAGGCCATCTGGTAGAGTGTTGAAGGGGTGCTAGCTACACTACGACAGTATGTATCCATTAGCACAGGATACTGGTGCTGAATAAATATATTAAGCGCTCATTCTTTTCTGTGTATTATTCAGCTCGACGATACAACATAATCTTTATGTTATTATTAAGAGAAAAGAATTTTTTATTATTAAATTTTATTTTTTTGGTCCTTCTAAGAACATTCGAAATTTTGGTTAAAAAAAATTTGGATTTTCTTGCGTCAACAGGGGATCTAAAATTGGTAGAGGAAATTTTAGCGTCATTTTTTGTGATGAAAACATTTTGTAATTCTTGCAAAAATCAAGTAATTTTTGGATTTTTGTCAAACTTCCAGGACTTATTAAC